AGCAAGCCGACGCTGCAGCGCGGCCAGTCGACGACGGCGGCCGCCTCGCCCGACCTCTACAGGTCGCGCAGGTACTCGGCCGCCGACCGCGGCGATGGCCGTGCGGCGCTGACGCTGCGCCCTGAGCAGCCGCCCAGGGCCGCCTTCCTCAAGGGCCTCGACAACGTCAGCTCCCGCGGCATCGACGCCATCCGACCGCTGCCCGTCCCGCCGCAGCTGTCTCCGTTCGCGCCCTGAGTCCCCCGCGTCCCTATCGTACGTAGCGTAGAATAGTAGCCTGTCTTGGCGGTGCGTCGAGCGTGCGGGCTGCCCTGGCCGGCGCCCCGACGCCTGTCGTTGCTGAAAACCACCCTTCCTTGGAATCTGAAGCGTGTGCTGATGGGCAAACTCCGGATGGACATGGTATGAGAGCACGCGAATGACTGCGGGGTATGAAGATGGAGGACGAGATGGCCCGACCACAGAGGAGGACAGCGATAGACCGGCGCGGCTACTCGATGACCCTGTCGATGAGGCCGTGCTTGAGGCACTGCTCCTCGCACCACTTCCACACCTGGTCCCTCGCCTCGGTGTTGCGGCCGAGCTCGTTGAGCTCGCCGACGCGGGCATAGGGGATGAGGTACTTGCCGTTGACCTCGTCCTTGTCTGCGCCGACGGCGCCCCAGAGCTGGGTGACGGCGCCGACGGCGGCCGGGTAGAGGAGCATCTTTTTGAAGCGGGCCGTGACAAAGTTGCTGCCGCCCAGGTCCGACTGGATCGCGCCCGGGTGGACGGCGCACGAGACGATGCCGTCGTTGCTTGCCTGCGAGAGGGCGGCGAGCTTCTGAGCCGTGTAGATGTTGCCCATCTTGGAGCGGCCGTAGAGGTGGGCGGAGCTCGAGAGCTTGCCGCGCTTGTAGTCGTCGAGGCCCTCGGGCGACATGTTGATAGGCTTGTCGACGAAGCGGTGGGCGCCCGAGGCGGTGAGGACGATGCGCGTCGCGCCCGGCTGGTTGGACGGGTCGGCGGCGGCCTTTTGGATGGCGGGGAGGAGGAGGCGGACGAGGGCGTGGTGGCCCAGCGTGTTGGTGCCGAGCATGAGCTCGTAGCCCTCCTCGGTCTTGCCGCCAGTGACGAGGCCAGCGTTGCCAAACAAGAGGTCTAGCCGGTCCTCCTTGGCGAGAAACTCTTCGGCAGCGCGCTTGATGCTCTGCAGGCTCGACAGGTCGCACTGGACCAGCACCATGTCGCCCGCCTTGCCGTTGTAGCGCAGGTCGCCTTCCTTGACCTTTTCGCGCAGCGTGGCCTCGCATTCGGAGCGGAGGACGTCGCGCGTCTTCTCCATCTTGGCCACGTTGCGGCCGAACAGGTAGACCTTGGCGTCCGAGAGGACCAGCTGCCGCACCGTCTCGTACCCGATGCCGGCCGTGGGGCCCGTGACGAGCGCCACCTTGCCCGAGAGCGACTTCATGTCGCGCTCCGGCTCCCAGTGCGGCGGCTTCGGACGCCAGCAGGGATCGCTGGTCAGCTCGCGGATAATGGTGAGCACAGAGGACATGGCGGGTGCGTGCGAGCGAAACCGGTGGCGGGAAGGCGATCGAAAGAGTAAGGGCGGAGGTGGTGGTGTCGACGACGGCGGCAGAAGAGACGGGGCTCGTTGCATGTGAGAGGCAGGGGCCGAAGTGGTGCCACCTCGTCAGGGGCCCGCCCCAAAACCGATTAGCCGAAGGTGAGCTCGCCCGCCGCCCCGTCGCCGTCGCCGCCGTCACCATCTCCACATCACCCACCACCTTGCCCGTCACCACGCAGGGAGCATCATCGCCAAGACAGCCAGCCGCC